ACTTTCTTATTTTTATTTTTGGGGTTCCGCAACTATTGTAAAAAAAAAAGAAAAAAAAAAAAAAAAGAAAAGTTGTTGTGCAATACTGAATTCAGACATGTACCACAAGTTAATGGTAGACTAACACTGAGGGGGGGTGGGGTCTAGGCATTGTGCTTTTGTCAGCATACTCTTGAGCTTTTAAGTCTACTATGTCTGAACTGTGGTTTCTTGTTTATCCTTTTTTTCTTTAGTTGGACTGTAATGTATGGTCTGTCAACCTGTGAATCTTTTAAAGTATGATTCAGGTATTGTTGTATTCTTTACTGTGTAATAAAAATGTTCAAAATCTGTATTCCTACCTTCTCCATGGAACTTCATTCCTGATGTTCCCTCTGTGAATAGTATTTTATGAGTCACTAGTCCCAGTGCAGGAAAATGTCACTTGAAGTGCTGCCATGGATCACAGGATCATGCAATCTCTTTTTTTCCAGCTTCTGGATGAGACAGGACAACCTTGGCATCAGGATCTTGACAGGATTTCTGTTGAGTTTTAGATTATGGCCACGTTCAACTAAGATCTGTTTCTTATTTCTGGCTGGGGGACACCTCCTAAGAAAACCCCCAAAATGCTGAACTTATATCAGAGATGTGCTTTGCCTTCAAAGTCAAACTAATGCCTAGATTAATGGCTGTCGTAAACCATATCTGTTTTTAATGGTTTCTCTGCACTTGAGCTTTTGCACAGAGTCATCTGAGGCATCTATTTCTATTTTTAACTTAATGACAATACTCATTAAGAAAGGGAAGCACCATCCCAGAGGTGTAGACTGAACAGTAACTTTTACAGCCTTCGTCCAGTGCAGTTCCCAAGGGTGTTCTCTGGTACATGCAGGGCTTCATTAACCATGCTGTCTCCAGAAGTAAATCCATCTATAGCATGATTGTTATAGAGATTAAGACTGCCCTAGCAGGAGGGAAACACCATCGACATAATTTCTGTTTATATCCAGTATTTGGTCGTAGCTCCTTACCACGGTCTGCTCCCAGGAACTTCCTGTGAGTACGAGGACGTTGCTGATTGCATTCAAATATTGGCATTTTGCCAGTGTAAACCATCCTCCCTGGACTCATGTAATTCTCATGCTTCTTCTTGTAGACACATAGTATTTTTAAAGATATGAAATAATGACCTTGACCTCAAAGATATTTAAATTGGGATTTGATAATGGAATTAGCATCACTCCCCACCTCCTGCGCCCCCAAAAGAGGAGAGAAAGTGTGTGCATTACAAAGCCTATTTAATGGATCAACACTTATTAGAAGGATCTTATTTTAGTCTGGGTTTGCATCAGAATCATAGATATAACCAAATGTCCCTAAGACTCTGATACAGAGCATCTGTTCGTCACCTTGTTAAGCAAATGGAGGTATTTTTTGTTCATTTTGCAAGTTGTTTTTTTGGAAAGAGGAGGCAAAGTGGCATAAATAAATGCATCATGAAGACAAGTGAAATGAGTTTTTATTTTTTTTTAATATCAAAACTCCAGCACTGAGCTAAGCCCTTTTTGTAAGGCTCTTATCTGCCTTCTAGTAATTTGATTCATTTCTCTTATCATCAGTACAATCCATAGCCTTGAGAGCATTTTGGTGTTTGGAGTTTCTGTAAGAGCCATTCTTGAGAAAGGCCAGCGTTTGTGAACAACCACGCTGAAATCCGGAGCTCTTCTCTGTCTTAGCAGGGGCCGTGGCCTTGACTCTGGAAGGGGCCATTGCCAAGTGAGTGCTGATTTTTGACCCTTCCAGTTATGCTGCCATTAAATGGTGTTTAGAGTGGAAAGGGAATTTGAGCACAGAGTTGTCAGTTTTCAAACCCCAGATTTCAAGAGCGGAAAATACTCTCAGCCTACACCGTGCACTGGGAAATGCTAACTATGAAGACTGAGAGGTTCTGCCCTCAGACTGACTTTCTTTTGTGTTATACTGTAGTGCATGACTTTGTAAGCTATGGGGCAGGTAAGGTGTAGGCTTTTTACCACTTATTTTTTTCCCCAACCCATAGCTTGAAGGTGCCTGATGCTGTGTTAACGGAGCAAGTGGAGGGTGCAGCATCAGCGATCGTTACTCTGCTTTTCTCTTCTCTGGCTCAGTGTGAGACGCATCAGCCAAAACCAGGGTGCTTCGCTTCTTTATTTTGGCACCTTTAGAGAAGTGGTGGCATATTTAAAATGTCTTCCAGAAGGGAAGGAAACCTGATGAGATTTGAGTCAGGAGGTTGCCTGTTTGCTGCTTCATGCCCCCTTCTCCAAGACGTACCCAACAGGGCTAGGTAGCACTTAGAAGCTGACCGAAGAAGAGCTGAACTGTAAACTCAAGCTCTGAGTTTTGAACACCTTGCTGCAGTTGCTTTCCTCTTCCCGTAGCTCTCTTTGGTTTCTCCATTGATTATTCCAGCCCTCAGACTGTTGATTCATGTGATGTATGAGCCATGTTTGGAGCTGAATTTTTTCATCCATAAAAT